CTCGGACCCTCCTGCATCAATTTTGGCTTGCAATTTCTATCAAATCTGTTGGCATGAAGGTTGGATGTTAGGTGGTATGTGTAGAGGGGAGCGAGGGCTTTCAAATGGTATGGAGGTCCGATGATTTGGGCGGTGGTTGGCTGGGGATTTTTTGCTGCAAAGGTGGCGGCTTAGGGGTGATGGTTTTTTCAAATTTGGACTAATTTGCACCTTTTAAAAAGTTTGGACACATAATTGCAATGTGTTCTTTATTTTTCTTTTCTTTTGATTTTGTTATATTTGATTAGGAAGGTAAAATCGTCAATACACGGTGAAAAGGACATTCGGCGCACGAAACGTTGAAGGTAAAGGCATAAATGTTAAGAAATGAAAGATAAAGACGATTTCCACAATACATGTCAAAGATATGGACGTTTTGTGCCAATTATCCAAAACATAATCTATATTAATAATAAACTTTGTTTATCACGGACACTTCCACATTGCATGAATATATGTGTTACGTGCAGCTTAGATGTGTGTGGATGGAGAGGTTTAGAGATTCAACTTTTTGTTAGATAGGGTGGTTAGTTAATTGTGTTGAAATCAAATGAACGATGAAAGTGAATAAATGGTGAAATTCTAGTTTATGTGATAAAAATGAGAGATTTAAGTTTTGTAATGGCAAATGAATGATGAAAATATTAATGAAAAACTAGATTATTGTGCAGTGCGGAGTCTTGCTCCGCACAGTGCGGAGCAAGACTCCGCTTGTGCGAAGTCTTCCTCGGCACTGTGCAGACTATTTACTCTGCACATTGCGGAGTGATACTCCACACTTCATGGCGTACGACTCCACACTGTGATTTTCTAAAAAAAAAAAATTACTTTACATTTTTGAAATTACTGATTTATTTTTTATTAATTTGCCAAAAAATAAGGGGCCGTTCTCTTTGTGTTTCAGTTTTGTGTTTTAAGTTTTGAATTCATTTTGTATTTTGTGTTTTGAGTGTCTGTTTTGAAATTTCTGAAAATGCGTTCTTCTTGCCATTCTGAAAAACTGTTTCTGAAAACATAAAAATGAAAAACGCGTTTACTTTGAAATTTTGAATTTTTTGTAATAATATTTTATTCAAAGAAATCTGATTATTCAATAAATTTTAATGGTTTAATATTAATATAATATTAATTAAAATATAAATTTTGTAGTTGGTG